GTGTTAAAATAACACTAGGGGATGTTAAATCAACACCCAAAAGTTTATCACTGAAATTTTAACACTCCCGTTTTTGCTGTGTATATGTATAGAGCAAAATTTATGTACAAAAAATAACACACCACATGACATTGTAATGCTGTTTTATTATTGTCATTTGTTTAATAAATACACTGGCGTGATACAACTTAGTACATGTTTGATTGCTTTTTGGGATACGTCTATTTTGGAGTTGTAGCCCCACCTGGAGAAAAGTCCACCAGRCGCCACTGATAACTAGTAAAATGAAAGGCTCTTCAAGGAATGCATATTACCTGCCACTTTTCATGCCAGTTTTAGACCAATCAACTAATAACAAGAAATAAGAGTTCAAACCCTGTCAAACCTTTAAAATGATGTTATGAACAACCTTGTTAACCTTGTTGTATGAACAACAACATTGTGACATTACACTTTTTTTAACCAAACAGTACATTGTACATTACAGTACATTGAACAATGTAGATGAAATTAGCAAACAAATATGGCATTTTGGCTAAATGATTGAGAAACTGCAGAGGTGTTTGCAGCTCAAACAGACTTCACCGTACAAATATGATTCAGTTCAGACACATCACACAAAGTAGGAATTCAGATGACTGAACTGGTTATGTAAAGTTTTTTTTTTACACATTTACAGCTTTATGGTTCACTTTAAAATGTGATGTCATCACACACTAACCTTTGAGCTGTCCAAATATTTAATAATTTTGCAGGCAATCTGTTTTAAATTCTATGCCTCGTGTATCTCAGCCTGCTGCAGGACTTTGGCACACATCCAAACTGCCGTTAATTTCCATTGTAAATCAATAGTAAACATAAATGCTTACAAATTTCATGATCAGTTGCAGCTGCAACTCAGTTCAGGAGCAGCATTATGCTGCTACTTTAATGTAACAAATGGATATTAAGTAACATCCTCCTCACTTTAAAGCAGCAGCTGAAACACTTTGTTTCTTCTGTGGACTGAAAGTGTTGCTGACTGTTTTTACTGAATGACATGGTAACAAAATCACCTGATCGCCTTAGAAATGTCTTCTAGTTTGTTCAGTTTGAGTTCAGTTTCATTTCACYGTTTGAAGCAACACGTGCCCTTTCTCTCCATTCTGGTGATTTGACCTCTGTTCCTGTTAGATTAGTTTCGTTTCCTCACTGTGACTCTATGCTGAACACATTCAGAGTGCTGCACCATAAACTCTGCTGCTTCCTTTTGGCACCTTCAGAATAAAATCCCTGTAGATATTGTGAAACACCTTGCAGGCATGTGCTGGTGCAGACCCTCTGTCTTGGTAAATCCAAACAAAACAAAACAAAACAAAACAAAACAAAACAAAACAAAACAAATATAGCAGCTGGACGTTTTTTCTGTAGCTAATTTCTCTTCCCATCCATGAAGCTATATCAGTTCAAAACTGAATAGTGTGAAGTTCCAAGRTTTAAACTGCCTTGCAGTAATKATTTGGTTCTTCAGAATGTTAAAAACTGGTTTTAGATGATACAAATGAAAACATATGTTCTATTGAGTTCAGTTCTTTATCTGTGTCCTCATTTAACCATTCGCAACACTCTCACTGTTTCAGATACACTCACCCTCAACTCACCGCCTTCGCTGGCTCCCTCCCTTCATTTCTCTCCTCCCCCACTTGCCCCATCCCCCTCTTTCATTTTTGCCTTCCCTACTCCCTATCATATGCTCTATGAGATAGTTTTTAACCCTCATCTACCCATCATATTGCCTATTATTCTTTTTTTTAATGCAAAGGCAGTGTTTTCATCGCCTAGCCTGGTTTAAACCAGACCCTATCCTTCACTTTGCTTCGTACAAGGGTCTGGACTTGATGCATAGGGAATCGATTTCTTGCAGGAGGCGTGGCCTCTGGATGTATGTCGCTGTGACGGAGGCTAAGCTAAGAAGCTAACCGGAAATAGCGTGCGCTGTAAACAACCCTACTGAAAGGAGAAAAGTACCGAGCCGAACAAGACGGCTGTAAATGAGAGCTGCTGCTTTGTCAGACATATTTAATTTAATTTGGAAGTCTTATCAACACAGACTGGCTTCATTCACTTCCTCCACTGCTGTATGCTAAAATAACTAGCAGACACTTCGCAGAAAGTCGACGTCGTTCAAAACTCCTCCTTCTGTTCTCTGATTGGCCGAGGTAAAATAAACTACAAGCAGACACTGCGCAGAAAATTGACGTTCTCTTCTCTGATTGGTTCGGCTAAAAATTTGCCAGCGAAATTCATCTCAATGGGAGAAGTCCCAGATGGAGCAGAGAAGGGAAACTAGAATTGAGCGGAGCTGCTTAGGAAGGCAAGGGCCAGGCTAGTCCTCGCCCCACTGAGCACAACTTCTCCAAGATCTATACATTCCCACCAGTGGGCTCAGGAGCCACAGCTGGCCTGCAACCCTCAGTGAGGATCCCATCCAGCCTGTGGTTCATCCCCTCCACATTTTGAGTCTGAGTATTGACAGCTCTGCATTAACCATCACACAATGCAGGCTACCTCCACAGGGCCTAAACAACTGCCAACATTTTTATATTCCACGATAGCCCAGATATCCACCACCACCAGTCAGTAGAAATCCTGCTATCATTAATCCAATTATGTATACATCTTCGACATCCWCAATCAACAGAGAAAGGTACATTAGCTTCTAATCCCCCCCCAACAATCCATAACATGTCCAGCTGCATATTTTCCATCCAGAAAAGAAGGCTCCCCWTTGCCCAGTTTCCATGTAGAAAAAAATTGATCAGTAGCYTTGAGAGACCAGCTGACCAGATACACAACTTCTAGTTTTGGATTATATGTAAAGGAGGCTCCAAAATGAAGCAAACCAGGGTAGATGAGGGAAGGRTGAAGGAAAAAGGGAAAATATTATTTCATTTTACACCTTGTATGGAAGCACAACGTAAGTTTTAGACACTAAGACAAAATGACAGAGAAAATAGAAGGGAGAAGAATGAGGACAGGATTAAAAGACCAAGGAGTTTGCTGCTCCTATGGTTTGACAAGTCAGATTARCATCAGCAAGTTAGGTTCTGAACAGGTCAGAAGCTGAGGACCTGAGCACATTCTGTCAGAAAAATAAATATGAGGCACTAKTGGGATTAGATTACCAGGCACTCATCTACTGGGTTCCCACAAGGGTCTGTACTAGGACCACTGTTATTCGGCATTAATGAACTTTCATGTGTGACAGTGTTGATATCCAATTGTATGCAGATGATACTGTCATCMACATGGTAAGAACAAAAATCAAGTTGCTTTCAAACMAACTGATAGCCCCTTAGCTGAAGCATGACTGCCTGCAATTAAATGTTTCTAAAACAGTTGTCATGTATTTTACCAAAAGGCTAGAAAATACACCTGARGCAGACATATGAATCTTGGCATTTTGTTTGATACAAATTTATAATTCAAAGCTCATGTCAAGAACAAAAAACTTAAATTTAACCTCACAAATTTTATGCATATAAGATTCTATTTGTCTAACTTGGCTGCAAAAATATTTACGAGTGCCATGATTTTTTTTTCCTCACATAGCATACTGCTTAATAAGCTGGGGTGGGGGCAGGCTAACTCATGGACCCTAAAGCCTGTGGAGACTTTATAAACAGACAGTAAAGATCTTAGAAAAATTTTGCATAGTCTTGCACTTGGTCTTCTACTTGAAGCACTTATCTTGTCATTGTCTAACTCCAGAGTTACTGCAAGWGGGGACATTGGCATACCTCTTAAACATAGTACATTTGGTCAGAACTCATTTTCAATGAAAGCTTTTCATGACTGGAGTAAAATATCAGAAGGCATAACATGAGTCTTTTAATCCTTTTGAAATAAGTTACTTGATGTGCTTAAAGCTATTTTTTAAAGAAATAATCTTATAAATTTGTATGTTTTCTATTTCTGTTTATGGTGATAGCCTTCGTGGCTAAATTTGGCATATTCTGTAATGTATGCTGTCCCTTCTGAAATAAATAAAAAAACAACAACTTCTCCAGTGCACTGGAAACTATAATTTCAAACTGAGTGAAACCAGTTCCTAATTAAAATTCCTAATCTTCTGTTAAAAGCTTCTCTTCAGTGAAAACCAGTTGAAATCTTACATGATGTCTGAAACCAGTCCCAGCTCATCGCCTGTCCATCCCCACAGTGAAGCACGGTGGTGGCGGCTTCATGCTGTGGTGTGCTTTACAATAGCAGGGACTAGGAGACTGGTCAGGGTCGGACGTGAAGTTGATGTTCTGCAGGACTTATGCTAGTGCATGTTCTTCCTCATCCAGGGCATGGTAATCCTAGTGAAGTCAAATTAAAGGAGCTGTTTTTATTTTAAGATATTCTGTGTCAGAATATCCTCCAGATCCTGTTGCATCAAACTTTGGAATTGCWGCCAAAGGTGTTTTGACTCAGGACTAAATATAGCTATGATATGAGATTTCAGATTTTTTTTTATCAATACTTTTTAAAAACTGTATGAAACTCTGTTTTTAATTTTCTGTTGAAGAATACTGAGTGTAAATCAGTGAATAAATGATTATACCATCAGGCTGCAACCTAACAAAACTGCTAAAAGTAAAGAGGGCAAACTCTCTGAAGACATTGTAAATAGAACCTACTCTAAAATAAAAAGTAACATAAAAACTTCTTGTCTTTATGTAAACCAGACTCCCTGACAGGACTTACCCTGTTTTTATTTGAAACCCACAGCCTGTACTTCCTGTGTTGTTGCTCTGACTTGACGTCATGGTTCATTATGTCTACAGGAGGTGTTGGTGTTTCACTTCACTTCAGTCTGCAGTGAGGAGACGTGAAAACCAACAAAGTCCAAACTTACCACCATGAAGAAGACTTTAGTGTTTATCTGTCTCGCCTGCTGTGCTCTGTCAGGTAAGATGTGCTTTCAACCAATGAAATGCCAGCTTTAAGCAGTTAGCAGTAAATAGTTAACAGAATATGGACATGAAGAAAATTGTATAAATTTATGGCATAAAAATACGGATTCACTGCAGACTTTGATGGTTGTTTGAGGTTTGTTACTTCGCATTATAGTTTTTGTTGATTTAAAAAATATTTTCTTTACAAATTGGGTTTAAGATGTTTCCATCAAAACATTCTGAGACTTCCTGGACTGAAAACCCCAAAACGTATGTAGTTTTCTGTTAGTCTCCCAGTATGGGTCATGTGATTGCTGGTTAAGAGGGAGGATTTATTGTTAGATCAGACTAAATGTGAAAGTTTTGGTGAAGTTCAACAACTGTAAAAGTTTATGAAAGTTTKCATACTGGTGGTTTAATCAAGTCCAACCAAGTCCATGTTTTAAATATGTTATTTTAGTCTTTTAGATCACTTCTTTCTGGAGCTTTGTTCACTCTAGTTGTTTTATGCAGAATACCAGCCAGAGGTCATTTTCACATTTTTAAATGGTTATTTGTTTAGGCCAGAGAGTACCTTTATGTTGTATAGAATCCCCAAAGTCTGATTATAATGGAGCAATGAAAGCCAGTTTAGTTACAAAGACAATCATCAGCAAACCTAATCATGTTTTTTAAAATCATGTTCTGCTGCATTCCTTTAGTTTCACAGTCTAAAAAAAATAAGCTGCTTCCTCTTCGACTCACTTTCTAGCACCTGCATTATACAGTAGCTAACTGCTGAGGAGTCCAAGTCTCTTTAKTGCAGACTGAAACAAAGCTTAAAGAATTAAACATAACTGAAATTCATGTGAAATAAAAATTAATACATTTATTTTAAAACACAACAAACTAAATTATTACCATTTTAGAACTTTTCATCTAACTCAGAATCTAAACAAACACCAGCCATGAGTAAGTTTGAAAGTTGTAAATGCATCAATATTGAAAGTTTTTTTTTTTTTCATTTAAGCACTATCATTGGTTGAAGACACAAAGAAGAATAAACCTCCTTCATCAATGGCTCCTGCAAGTGAATTTGACAACTCGACACCCATTACCACCCCCAACCCTGCCACTACTAAGGCCACCACCACCACCACCAAAACCACCACAACCATGCCCACTATGGCCCCCAACACCACCACCCCTACCACTACCAAATCTACCACCACAACCATGCCCACTACGGCCCCCAACACCACCACCTCTACCACTACCAAATCTACCACCACAACCATGCCCACTACGGCCCCCAACACCACCATCCCTACCACTACCAAATCTACCACCACAACCACGCCCACTACCACCCCCAACACCACCACCACCAAATCTACCACCACAGCCATGCCCACTACCACTAAACTTCCTACTCCTACTCCTCCAACCAACTTGACTGTTGGAAACTACACTGTGAAGAAAGGAAGCGAGATTTGCCTGATGGCTCAGATGGCACTACAGATTCGACTGGTCTCAAAAGAGGTATATTTAATCAGTCACAACAAATYTGTATGTTAATCAAAGGTCTAGAAAAATAAATGTATGTAAATACACTGTTTTGTGACGGAATTATGGTTAACCAGATGCCACCACCAGGTTTGAGTCCGACCAGGTTAATGATGACACAAACCTGTAGAGCTGGAGACACAGCTAGACACAAACTTTTTATTTTATTCACAATGAACAGGGTGAAGCTTCTACACAGTTTTTTTCAGATACATTCTAAAACAAAAGTATCCAGATATACTCCAAAAGGCAGATCAGTCCAAAGGACAAATTATAAAATAAGACAGGTTAAAAGGCAAAACACCTGCATTCTTGTAGCAACTGCTAATTCCTGCTGGAGCTGTCTTTGGCAGTAGCTTCTCTTGGTGCAGACCAGCACACATTCCTCACACAATAAACAGTGTTTTAAATATAGAGCTTGTTTATTGAATTAAGGAGTTTAGTAGACAATACATACAGATAGGCAGCAGATAGTTGGTGGTTTGATTCCTCCATTATTCAGTCACATGTCAAAGTTTATCTGGGCAAGAGACCAAGCTTTCACTGCCTCTGATGTGTGTCCTAGCAGTGTACGAYTGTAATTTATAGAATTGACTAGTATCCATAGAATGATCTGTCTGGGTTAGCTTTGTAGAGAGAAACAGTGTGAARGAGTATGTGAGGGCATAAGTTGTAAAGAGCTTTGAGCATACTGGTTGGGTAGAAAGGCCAATAAGTACAGTCCCATTTATGTACAACTGAATACAAAGACAATATGTTCAATCTGATAAACTTTATTGTTTCTTTATAAATATTCACTCATTTTGATTTTGATGTTGCAACATGTTCTAATGAATCTGGGACAAAATCATGTTTCCCACTGTGTTCCATCAGCTTTCCACTCAATAATTGTTTGTGAACTAAGGACACTAACTGTTGAATGTTAAGGTTTTGGTGGCAGGATGGACCCAAATGCAGGCAGGCAGGCTCAAAAATTAAACAAAACTTTATTAAAGTAAAGGCKYATGTGGRTGCAAAAAACTGAAAACTTACAAGCATGAGAAGAGCACAGGGGAYCCAGGGCAGGACAGGAACCAAACAAAGAMCGGACAAAGGTGGAGAGAAAATTYGCAGAATYTATACAGTACAAACAGGGATGAGTGGAAGTTGGAAACAGCTGGGTGATTAAAGAGAGACAACAGGTGTGAGATTGACTGGAAGAGACTGAATAATCTGAGGACTGAGATGACATGGCACGAAAYGAACATGAGAGGGAGGCACAAGACAACAGAAAGCACACACACAAGACACAGATCCTTACATTGAAGCTTTGTAGCTGGAATTCTTTCCAGATATGATGAGAACAACTTCATGAACTTCAGTTGCTCAACAATTTGGGGTCTCTTCATAACGCTCAACACATTTTCAATGGGAGACAGGCCTGGACTGCAGGCAGGCCAGTCTAGTATCTGCACTCTTTCACTCTGAAGCCACGCTGTTMGAATATGTGCAGAATYTGTCTTCATTGTCTTCCCGAAATCWGCAGGACGTCCCTYAAAAAGACTTGGCTTGGATGGCAGCATATTTTGCTCCAAAACCTGTACTGTATGTAGCTTTCAGCATTAATAGTGTCTTCACAGATGTGACAGTTACCCATGCCATGGGCACTAATACTCCCCCATACCATCAGAGTACAATGGTTTTCTCCATGTGTTCCTGAGCCCATGTACATCTGCATCTGTTACAGAAAGATGTGGGTTTTTGATGCAGGGATGTCTGAGGGGTCAAAAGTCACTGGTATTCAGTTTTGGTTTTCAGTCTTGCTGCTGACGCAGAGATTTGTCCAGATTCTCTGAATCTTTTGAAGATATAATGGACTGTAGATGATGAAATCACTAAATTCTTTGCACATGTATATGTTGAGAAATGTTCTTAAACTGTTGGACTATTTGTTCACACAGTTGTTCACAAAGTGGTGAGCCTCACCCATCATTGCTTGTGAATGACTGAATCTTTTTTAGCATTCCTCAACTTTTTCAGTCTTTTATTGACCCTGTCCCAGCTCCATTAGAACATGTTGCAGCATCAAATTCAAATTGAGTAAATATTTACAATCTGTTTGAACATTAAATATCTTGTCTTTGTTGTGGATTCAGTTGAATATAGGTTGAAAAGGATATTTTGATATAAACTGCCACTGAACGAGGTTGATTTTCTTTAAAAAAAAAACACATTTAATTTCTCCTTACTTTTACTTTCAGGTCTATGGAACTTTCAACGTTCTACCAAGTGAGACCAAATTTTCTGGCTCTTGTTCTGCAACTACAGCCAGRCTTATACTAACCTTTAAAGAGGGCAACATCACCTTCAACTTTAACAAGGTATACTTCTTTTCCTTCTTCAAGTTAGCATAAAAATGGAGATTATAAAGTCTATGTATGATGGTTCGGGGAAGCAATGAGYGGCTTTATTAAATAAAAAGCTTAAACAAAAATGTTATAATTATGTTGCCATGATATTCTATTCTTTGAGTCCATGATAAATTTGCTACAGTTCTGATTTGCAAAAAATAGAAAAGTTGTAACATGTAACTCATGTTAAACATGTTATAGGGTAACAGTCTTTATGTAAAAAGAGAATTAAAAGATTATTCTATATATGGTGATTTAATTAGCCTTCTACTATCGTGAACTTTCATGTCTGAGGCGGTTTTATTTTATTTTATTTTTTGACTCTGGAAGATTTTACCTCAGAATCTTAGAGTCTATATATAATATACAGGGTGTATCAGAAAAAATGATACTCTCAGAAAAATCACCATAAAATTAACATTGATAATAATTTTGAAAATGTGGGCGTAACTTTTGGTAGAGGGCATCATTCTGCTTTGAATGACACCAAAATCTTAGTTAACGCTTCATGCTCCAGTGAGCAGGGACAGTTGGAAATTCACAAAATTCATGTCTTTTGCGCATCGAAATGTGAGGGTTAAAATACGATCTGATACATAAAATTAAAAGTTTAGGTGGTGTTTTACATGCATGCCAAGGAATTTTTAAAATAATTAACCCTTCCATGTCCTAATGTCGAAACAAAAATATCTAATTTTTGAGTGGATCATAACCAAGGGTTAACAAACACATGTGAAGTGGCCGTGGACAAGTCAATCCATCCAACTAACATTACATGTAATGTACTGTACATGTACATGTATTCAGTGGGTATTACATGTAATTATTCCATAACCTGGTACAAGATTCAATTGCAAACAATTGCAACAATTGTTCCGAGCCATCTCACRGTCTTCCACAACGTTAACAAGTACCGTGCTTRTGGGACCAGCCACAATCTCAACAAGGGCAGGTCRGGACAACAAAGGACCCAACGCACACCAGCCAACATTGAAGCAGTCAGAACCCTCTTCAAAGAGCAACATGCTGGAGAAGCAGGAGAACCCTAACATTTGGACACTCATGTTAGAACTCCTCAAGGACAGTGCGAACACTTTTCGTTTGGAGGTATTCAGTAACCAGGAAAGACCTCTGCTGAGCAGTGGACTGTAGTCAGGCCATTTTAGACCACAGGCTTGACAGGAAGAGAGACAACTGCACAGGTGCTGACAGGTTTCATGTCCAGGAATTATGCAATTGTCTGCATAAGATAAGGTGATGTTTGTGATCATGTTGTTTTAATGAAAGAAAATGACCACACGATCACATGATCTTGTACCAGGTTATGGAAATACATGTAATACCCAGTGAATACACGTACATGTACAGAACATTACATGTAATGTTAGTTGGATGGACTGACTTGTCCACGGCCACTTCACGTATTTGTTAACCCTTGGTTATGATCCACTCAAAAATTAGATATTTTTGTTTCAACATTAGAACATGAAAGGGTTAATCTATTTAAAAACACCTTGGCATGCGTGTAAAACACTAGCTAGACTTTTAATATTATGTGACAGATCATATTTTAACCCTCACATTTCGTTGCGCAAAAGTCATGAATTTTGTGAATTTCCAACTGTCCCTGCTCACTGGAGCATGAAGCGTTAAAGGGATCCCTGATTAGTTGTAATTTTAGACTTTATTTCAGGGCTATTCAACTGGCGACCCACGGGCCACATCCAGCCTGCGAGTGACCAAAGTTTGGCCCGCCAATTGGTTCATTCATCTCTTAAGCCCAAACTCCCTGATTTCAATTTTAATTACTCTAAGTTCTTTTAGTTAAACATAGACTTGTTTGGTATCTACAGAAACGTCAGAATCTTGGCTAGAAGCTGGTAAAAACCATTCCTATAAACACTCAAGACAGTTAAAAGTACAAGTAGTTGAATACAAAATGGTGAAAATGAAAAAAATCGGTTTAAAAATTTGGCAAGTCAGAGATGTCAAAATATTATTTGTGTCAAATAGGAGGCAGAATGTGTTCTTTTTGTTTTTGATAATGTTTAATTATCACTACTGTATGTTGTATTCATCATTAAATGCAGCAAAATAAACTAATTCAAAGGTAACAGATCTTTGTAATTCTTGATTTTTTTACATAATGACTTTGATTGCTGGATGTTTGGTCCCTCAGCTGTTGACCAGCAGTAACTGTGGCCCCAGGAGCAATTTAGTTGAATAGCCCTGCTTTATTCGATGAACATATTTTAACTGTAAAAGAAAGACTGTAAAAATACTGTAAGCTGTTTAGTTTTGTAAATTTTTAAAAGTATATTTTAACACGGACGGAGCCATTTTATTTACACACAAAGCATTCTGGGTAAATGATGACGTGGATAGGGTCCTCAGTGTGAGTGAGCTATATCCAC